CATTTTAAGAGCTTTAAATGTGCTTCTATGTGTACATTTTGTTATCAGTATAATGCATATTTTTCATGCTTTCCAGCCTCCATAGAGGGTGTGACACTTTACAGGACCTTCATATTATTGCTAATTCTCAGTTTTCACTGCATTTCTTTAGCCTGAGGCAAATAAACTTAGGTAACTACGGATTTGCTTAGGACACTTAATGGAAAGGAATGGTAAGCAAGATCGTTCTATTGTTTGCATTCCTCTCACTGAAATATCAACATGTTCATTGTAAATAAAAATAAAAATAAAAATAAAAATAAAAATAAAAATAAAAATGACAGAAGGCAAAGACATAGCCAGAGATGTATCCCTTTACATATTCTTGACAGTTTGGGAAAAAAAAATAGAGAAAAAAATTGCTTTCTGCTGTATCAAAGCCACAAATGGAAAAGCTATAGCATATACTGCAAAGTCTTTAATAAGAAACAATTTCTGTCAATTACAATAAAAGAGAACTGCCTTGAAAGCTTATGCTGATTTAAAGCTGTTGCAACCAGGAGAAACAATCTCACAGGTAACCACATAAGGTCTTGGATCACGTAGCGTCTTGTATGGAGGCCTCAAGTGTTCAATAAAAACTGGAGCATTCAAAAGCGTAAACTTCTCATTTGATTAAGCTCTTTGTGCAAATTCAGATTTGCTAGGTCTATTTTTTCTTAATAACCTTATATTGAAAGAATGTCAAAATAACTTGGTTACTGAGTAACTTGGAGGTGCCAGAATTCAGCTTGATTTTCCAGAACTGTTCCAAAAACCTTTTTATTAGTCTTTTAAAATTCTATTTATTTATTTTGCATTTTCCCTGCTACCTGGTGCTGATTCAGGTACCCAGTTGTCCTTGCTATTTAAAACTTCTTAAAAGACAAAGATCTTGTGTTCTCACTTTCTGTTTGGACAGCTGGAAGCTCAAACCAATAGCGGCATGTCAGCCGGCCAAGCTGACCTCGTCTGGCACTTGCTTGTACTCTAAAACAAGCAAGTTTTACCTCCGTACAGGTAAAGATGCTGACCAGCTAGGGGCTGCTCTGCGGTAAGGAGCTCACAGAGTGCGTGGTCAGTCCTGCTGCACACAGAGCTTCATCAGGGCTCCTGAGGAACCACGGTGGTGGTGGATCAGAGACCCGGGTCTGCAGGGGGAAGCTGCAGCCCAGCTCTAGAACCAGAGCTTCCCACCACCATCAGGAGCTTCACCTTGTCCAGCTGGATAGCTGGGTTTAGTTCCTTTCTTCACTGCCAACTAGCACAAAGGCCTCTCCTTCATTTGAGCTGAAGAATGAGACCAACCCTCTTATATTGCCAGGAAACACCAGCAAATTCTAAAGACATTGGGAAGAAATGGTCTGGCATTGGTGCAGGCGGCGATGTTTTGCAGACCTTTCTCTCTGAGCGCATGCTTGTGGAAGGGAAAGCTTGTTTTTTTCGCTTATGGCTTCCTGGACGCAGAGCGACATGCCGGGGACGCTGTCAGCACTGCCATCAGCCCCACACCTATTCAAAAACCCTCGAGAAATCCGAGATGTGGAAAGAACCCCCCAAGCTCGCGCCCGCGATTCAGGCAACACTGAGTACGGGCACAGGAGATCTTGAAGAAAATCCATTTTGCGCTGTCCATTTCCACCCCCTTACCTCACCCTTTACTACCCTCTTTAACGTTCTTTTTCTCCATCCTTAGTTTTGGATCACTTCCAACTTCGTCGCAGCGTTAACCCCTGCGGCACCCGGGCACGGCGCCCCAAGCTCGCGCCCGCGATTCAGGCAACACTGAGTACGGGCACAGGAGATCTTGAAGAAAATCCATTTTGCGCTGTCCATTTCCACCCCCTTACCTCACCCTTTACTACCCTCTTTAACGTTCTTTTTCTCCATCCTTAGTTTTGGATCACTTCCAACTTCGTCGCAGCGTTAACCCCTGCGGCACCCGGGCACGGCGGCTCCGCGGCTGCGGGGGGGGACAGGG